GAGTATTTTCTTTACAATATGTGTCTTTTAACTCAATAGTGTTTTTCAACCAGGATAGAAAGAAGATGTTAACATATTGCCATCTAAAGGCCAGGGTCTGTTACTACAGGACTAAAAGAAGCTTTTCTGGGGCGTCCATTTACTCATGTACTGAACTTAATCTGAGATTTAACTTGAGTCTTTTCTTCTTATGCCTTTCTCTGCTTCTACTCAGCTACACTTCATAAAGAAGTATTGTTCTTTATACTTAACTAAAATTATTTGACAGTTTTAGTTACTATTTACTTTATACATTGAGATTTTTGCACAATTTGACAAGCAGAAAATTAACTGGCACCTATTTTGATAATAATGTTTTTACATTTTATGGCTCCAGCTTCTCATTGTAATCATTCTAATGTATTTTTTACTAATATTAATTGATAAGCATTGTGGAGGTGTCTCTGTGGGCTCTGGGTTGTTGTGATGGCATTTCTCAATTTTTTTCTGACTTTTTCTGAATAGATTAACAGAGAAAATAATCATCAGATTAATCCATATTTACATTATATAATAATCTAATGATTATATATATAACAGTTTAACAGTCACATGGGACATTATTCTGCACGAGTACTTTTGCCTTTAATACTTATGTGTATTAATATTAAGTACATTTTCCTGGTTAGACGTACAAACTTTTACTCAAATTAGGGTTTCCACCACCTCGTTTAATGGATTTCAACAGGAATCCCACTAAATCTGACCCGGTGGCAGGCCTTAAGAATAACTACACAGAAACAGCTGATGGCCTTGTGTGCTTATGTAGGTCAAATAGAGGCATCAGTACTAAATTAAGACATAACCAGTGAAAACTTGTTGTAGTAGGTTTAAGTAACATATTAAGTGCAGGACTTTTACTTTTAACAAAGTGTACTTAAGTAAAGGATATAGGCCTATAAGTTTTAGGTTTTAGGTGCTGACCATGAACAGCAATGTCTCAAATCTGACCAGGGACCTTAGCTGCATGTCATTCCCCTCCTCTCTCGCCCCTCTTTTCCTGTCACATATCTACTGTCAGTGCTCGGAATATTGCACGATACTAAAATAAAATAGCATCTTTGAGCAAAAAACTTAACTTAAATTTCTTCAGCATTGAAGCTGGTTTGTGTAGCAGTTGGACATGTGGGTTTTTACCTCCAACTGAGTTGGTCATATGTGTTTGAGTCATCCAGTCCTTCTGTGTGATGACATCTGCCAGACAACCACTAATAAGCTGCGGAAGATCGTCAGAGTCACTCATGTGGCTGGGGGAGTTAGCTGACAGCGAAACACCTGGTTAAACACACGAAACCTGTGTTTAAGAGGTGTGTCAGAAACATAACTTTGTGATCATATTGAGTGCTTAGATATTGGTTTTGCTTGTTTGTTGAGTTCTCTATGACACAGAAGCAGTTCAGTCATATAATCTTTCCTCATTTTGTGGTACAGGTTGGATTTTGTTTCATATTGAAGATAATAATAAATAGTTAAGATTGTGTTCACTATACATTTGTCATTAATCATCAAAATATGATAAACTACATTCTTCTTCTTGCAGTGATAAATATACTGCTCAAAATTGTATTTCCAATATTTAAAAAAATGACCAATGTATGTATTTGTTGTTAAAACTGAAATGGGTCATTATAAAGTTGTGACCTACAGTTTTCTGGGAGAGAAAGAGAAAATGCAAAATGAAGAAACAGATTATAATGTCACTTAGAATTCTTATTTTACAGTCATAAAAGTTCTTATTAAAGTTTTAAATGTTACTCTTGACACAGTGTTCAGTAAGTAATGTAAGTAGCGGAAGCGAACTTTAGACACATTAGTGTTGAAGGCGATCACTGAATAACTCTTCTATTGAACTAAATGTTTGACTGGTTAGATCTTTAAATTCACTAATGATGAAAAATTACCCCAACTATTGTATATCGTAAAATGTGTTTAGTCGCCCTGTACACCCCACAATTGTGTATTATGCTGCCATCTAGTGAGACCTGTACACATGTGCAGATAAGAACATATATAGTAGTTTTAGGGTGTCTCCTTTTCCTCCAAGATTTGTGCTCTTTTAATGCATGAGTGCCAAGTTTTTATTTATATAAAAATTTTCTTTTTTCCATTTAAAGGGATTTTGTTGATCTCTGTTGTTCTTTAGAACTGCATCTGAGAAATGACGGATACTATTCTCTTCTAAAAGTACATTGAAATGTATGTGTAGGCTATTTGTTAAAGCTGCTCTTTACCCGTCATCTGACATTTGATATTTTGTTTATTTATAGGGGACAGTAAACAACAATCAACATTGACATTTCAATGCAAATATGGTAGGGTTAGCTCTAATGTGCTCTGACACAAAGTCCTGAAATGAAAAACTCAAGATAAATATATATATTTCATATTGGTGACAGGAGCGAAAAGAAAGACAAAGCTTCATTGTTGTGTCAGATTTTAATTTTCATCTGACACTTCAAAGTTGTTATAACAAATAAACTGACAGAGTACTGTAAACACAGCGAACAGACAGAAAAGCTTAGTTCAAAAGGATAAAAAGATAAGAAACAACACAAACAGCAATGCCAAGACTTTTAAAAAAGTGACCGCCACGTTGCCTTTTGGAGTAAAGTCCATCATAATGACAACAAGTAATCATCATACAGTAGTCGCACTGGTGTGAGAGAGAGTGCTTTCTGTCGTTGAAGCATGATGGTGATCTATGATACTGCAAAAAGCCCTAATGTGTAGATACTGCATCAGTGGTAACCGAGATCCATGTTATGAACACCACGACTGAGCGGATGCTTGTTATTTTTAGCATTAACAGAGAGAATTAAAATTATCTAAAGGGTCTGTATTATTATTTTTTTTTTATATAGCAGCGTAAAGAACATAATACAGAAATGTAACACAAAGTATACCAATACAGCAAAAACGATTTCACTTGGTTCTTCATGATCGAAAAACACATGAAGTTAAACCATAGTTTACACAAACCGAAAGACAAATAAACACATTTCATACAGATAAACCATAACACACTTGGCAAGTAGTCACAAACTATTCCAAACAACAGGCATCTATTAACTTTAAATGAGCAACAATGTTCAGCAGGTAGGTATATAAATAAAATATTAATGCAGGAGTAAGGCCATAATCCAGACCAGTTGTTTCAAATTCATTGTTAATCATTTGGATTCAGTGTCAGAATGCATCTTGTGATATTCAGTTATTCACGATTGAGCTTCTTATTAATAATAAAGTTTAACAATCGAACAATCCCAACTCAAGGTCCACTTGCTGAAGCTTTCAACCATATCACGCGGTCTTCATCAGCGGATGTAGATTGCTCAGTTGCTATAGTGATGGATCTGTTGACATGCGAGCTCTGTAGCTGTCATGATTTTATCCAAAGCATTTTAGGACTTCTTATCTTATGTCGACCTAAAATTTAAGCACATTTTATGCATTTCAACAAATCCGTCTCCATGACAACAACTCTAATCTGCTGATAAAAGCAAAGAAAAGCTAGTGAGAGGACCTTGAGGTGGGATTATTTTGTCAAACTAGCGTTTCCTATGTATTCTAATGTACTTGCTTAAATACACTCTTCTTCAATCAATGTAAATTTAAAGTTTTAAAATACATTTAAAACTTGTTTAGGTGTCAGAAAATATTTCAAAGGGAAAACACATTTGCAACTTGCAATGCCATCTCATGAACACACTGAATAGTTCAAAACACTCAAGACACAAAATGGTACAACTGAAGGCAACCGATTTGTTTTTCTGCTTTGTTCAGAAAAAGAAAAATACCAGGGGAGAGAGAAAGAGAGATGACAAAATAAGATTTCCAGCCAAAACCAAGAGCCATTTTTATGTTTGCATATTTTATCCCTGTTCTCTTTATTTTAAAACTACAGCAATTAGTTTAAATACAGTTTTTTAAGTTTCAGTTTTAGTGTGAAAGATGAATTGAACATGAATTGGCCCCTGTTCGTATTGTTGGGTTGTTTGATATGACAGTGGTGCTAAATTGCTCACTCATGCTCATGATGAACACACATATGATCATTTTCTGTTATTTTCCTTCTCAGCCTACGACACTCTAGAGCGAGTGGAGGCATCACAACAGTTGCAGCTTTTAATTATTCCACAGGACAAAAAGCACGAATCACATTTATATAAACAGGATCATGTACTCATTTAGTAAAAATATTGTATGTATTTAATCACTTTAAGGGATAAGGCTGAAAATAGTCCAAATTTTTCTTATTGTCGACAAATCTCATAAAAAGACCAAAATCGGCAATGTACTAACAAGTACTGCATGTGCAACCAAAGCCTGATATAGCTTATTCCTATGTGCCACAGACAGTGACCATGGGTACTGTACTTTATCTCCCCATATACAGCATCCTGCTGTTGACACTTGAACTTTTGTGTATTCATCCACAGCTGAAAATAGTCCCAAGTAAATGCACTATTTGAGTAACATTTGCAAAAACTGCAGTGCCCAGGTGTTTGAGGATATTACTTAGCGTTTTTTTAAAATGAGTATCTTCAGTAGGAACCGTGGGTCTGAGGTCAGCTCGAGGGTTTTGACGAATCCCTGCTTTGTCTCACCTCAGTATAAAAACCTATAACATCATGAGAACAGTGTCAGGTCAATCTCCAGTCAGAAATTCAAACATGAAGCAACTTAAAAGCACAGTTTGGTTTGAGTCTTATGTGGATGACACGATTATTGATACAATTTTCCAACAATATGAAAAAACTAAACAAAACGCTCTTTTCAGTCGCAGACAGTTCAAACTCACATTTCAGCATTACGATATTGGCAGCATCAGGTTCAGATTCATAAGATGCTGTAAAGAAACCTAAAACAGTTTTCAATGTTTTTCTTTTTAAATGTTTTTCCTCAAAATACTTGAGACAAACAACACATAACAACAAGACCAATCAAATAAACACAGTCAACACATTTCTTCTTTCTTCAGACACATTTAAAGTCAACAAAATATCCTGTTCACTATTTCACTGTGAATTCACTTTAAATTTACTGTGAGTTTGTGGTATGTCGACAGCATCTGCTGATGTACTGATATGCAAATTGTACAATGTCTTTCAATCTTTTTTCACAGTAATTGCTGTAAAACATCTGTACTGCTGTTAGAAACTATTAGAAATGCAGCAAATCTGTCCGTATCTACAGTGCATACACGACATGACAAGTGCGTGATTCTCGGTTCACATATCTACAGTCCTCTACCTCAGTAAAGTCTCCACATCATCTGTCTACTCTTAAACACCAGCAGGTGACTTCTCTGGAGAACAGCGTTCTTTCTGTTGACCCTGTGGGACGGGACACTGTGCGTCCATAAAGGTAGTGTAACCTGCTTCGCCTCCTCCTCTTCCTCCTATCTTTCCTCCTGCTAAGCTGAGTTCTCATCTGTCAGCCAGAGAGTCACAGAGCAGAGACTTTGACGATGTTGGTGCCAGCTGAGCTTGATGTGGTCTGGATGCTCGGAGTTGCAGGGTGACCCGGGGGAGGGAGGGGCCTTCTCTGTGGGGGCCCGTGCAAGCCATCGCCGTCTGGAGTCAAAGCCGGGGGCGTTGGGAGGCTGATGATGGCTGTGGTGATCTGGCCGCCTTTGCAGTTGATCCTGCCGCTGTTATCAGTTTTCAGGTTGAGGTTGGAACGACTAGAGAGAGAGGACAAAGAACAAGGCAGACTGTATTTGTACACCAGTGCAGAGACAGTGAACGCAACATTTTGTTAATAAAAGCTGTAAAAGAGCTATTTCACGTAATCCTGGTAGTAATGTTTGAGATAATACTGTCTACAGGATACATAAAAGTACACACTGGCTCAAATTTGATGTGTTTATACAACAAAAACCTTGCAGGACCCTATAAACAAATATCCCAGACATTTCCTCTATTTCTACACATTATGCAGCTTAGACATGTGATATTCAGCTTTTTATTTTTTATTATATATATATACAGTATATACAGTATATACAGTATAGTCATAGTACAGTGTTCCTACTGCCCCCTCCAGTGGCTGTTTTGTATATTACACACATTTTACCTCAGTTTAAAGGGTCAGTTCGTACAAATATGTTCTAAATATTTTTTTCTTTCTCTACCTCTAGATGTATCTCTCTGTGCACATAGTTGCATTTTTATCTGCTGAGGTTTTGAGATTTCTGCCTCCCCCACCAAAAAAAAAGGTGAATGTAATTTTGTTTGTAGTGCTCAAAGCACTGAAAAAATAAACCGTGTTCTGGTTACTTACTGACGTCACTATAGGAGAAAATATGATTTTCTCTGAATGCACAGACAACCAGGAGTCACCAGAGGTATGCTGGTGTGTGTCTTATACGGATCTAGTAGGTTTCTTGTTCAAATTTCATTCATCTTTTCTTCAGTCAGTGGAGGGTAGACAAGCAGATGTTGCCTATCCTCTGAATTCTTCAGAATAAACTAACTATTTCACAGTAGCCACCTTAAGGGGATTTTAATCAAAATTCTTCAACACAAATGTTGAATATCCACATTTGGGAAGTTGTTACTGAAAAAGACACGCTACTAATAAAGATTTCAGTAACTTTTCAATGCTTTGAAGTGCACAGAGGAGGATACAGTATCTTAAAACCTTGGCACATAAAACTGAAATATTCAGAATAAGTTTACACAACTTGAAGCAAGTGAGAAAAAGTATTTTTGTAATTTGGGTGAACTGACACTAAAATTTCAAACAATTTTTGCCTCACAAAGTTGGCAGAATTCAGCCAACAACTTCGATACCAAGCCTCAGTCTACTCTCTGATGTGCCCCCTGCTGTCCTTTAGTTTTACCTGGCGGTGTGTAATGGCGGGTCACCACACTGTATGTGGATGGCACTGAGCTCCTGCAGGGGGCCCTGGTGTGTGGAGGGCAGGCTGGCATTGGGAAGAGGAGTGTTTCTCTTTCCCCTCCGGCCACAGCAGGTACCCGAAGAGCTGTCGTGGCTGGATATAGAGGGGCTGCGTGATGGGTAATTTGGTACCGCTGTTTCTAAACAGTTCTGCTCGTACATCTGCTCGTCCACAAACTCATGAGCCTGGAGAGAAGAAACAGGATCATGGTTTAAATACACAGGGAGGGATTATTGTTGAGAGAGGAAAACATAATATGGAGTAAATAAAAGACAGACTTGTGTGACTTGATTAATATATAATTTCTAATTTTACAATTAAATACACCAAAGAAAGATAATTACTCATAATATAGTAAATATAATTTACAAACTCATGCTTATGGCCCAGTTAGCATATTTGCTGACTGGAGAGCAGATCCAGTGTCACTGTTTTATACAAATCTCTGTTTTTTTGACACCAAAGCCGTTTGCAAGTCAGTGGCTCTCCAAATTCTACTTACACAAAATGTCTTTTGAAAAGTGTCAAATTGGCACATAAACACTTTGAAGCATATTTGCCAAGACTCTGCGTCTTGCTTCTGACTGATGTTGAAGCCCAGATTCCACAAGAGGGAAAACATCACTGTCACAGCAATAAACATCTTTGACAGCAATAAAAACTCCCCAGAGATTTAAATACACACCCACACTACTTGTGTAATGATTAACGACGGCATACAGGTGTGTAAAATAAACTTGGCCACCTCAGACAATCAATACAGGGTCAAATGTCATAAAAGAAATATATAAAATACCACAATGCAAGACAGCAATGTAAGCAATGAAGGGGAGAAAAGAGGAAAGGGTTGAGTTTTCAGTGTCTATACCACACTTGGGTTACTTGGTCTGATTAGATGTTATCTTGTAGTCGTCAGTGCCAAAGCTTTTTTTCCTCTTTTTTACTGGTATAAAATGTCATTATCACAATACAATACTTATTCTTCAGTCTTTTTTAATGTCATTAATGTAGCTGGTGAATTTAAGGCTAAAAGTGTTGGAATCAAAGATAAAGAAGTGTTCAAGTGTACCCACAGTGGTTTTCTCCAGACAGTGCAGTAGGTGGTGGTGTTGGCTCTCTAACAGAGAGATGGACTTAGTCAGCAGCTTCTGCTCATCCTCTTCTGTATCCTTAATAAGCCACCCAAACACATGCACGCACACATACATACACACACACACACACACACACACACACACACAAACAACATTGATGAATGTTGACAAATTACATTGTTGGCGTATCCTCGTCACTCATTAGACTCTCACTCTGTGAACCCGGTGCTGAAATGACTCCTTGATATAGACTTTGTCATCAGTAATGAAAGGTCAGTGACGTGGCGCTTTCGTTCTGCTTTGTGTCGCTCATTTTAAACTGAACTATTTTGGTTCATGCTTGTTGATTTCACTCTGATTATGAACAGGTAGCTACCGACCCCTGCTGCTTACTAACCATTTAGTTACATAATGGGCCACGTTTCTTCTTGGTGTGAATTGATCCCTCAGCCTTGGCAAGTGATTTGTTTCTAATTCATTTTCTCTATTGTGCATCTTTTGAGCCATTAATACTGTAATTGCATTTGGTTTGGTTCCTTGTATAACCAGATTGAAAACAGAACCCCCTCATTTCAGTTTACTGAACTAATAAAATATTAATTATAAAACCGTATTATTTGCCAGCTCCCTTACTTAATTATCTAAGTAGGTACCACTGGGCGTTATGACATGTTCTAAGCAGATGAAAAGTTATTGATGTATGAAGCCTCAGAAAGAGGAAAAACAGAAGAGTTGAGAAAAACAGAAACTTACGGAACCATTTTTTGGTATTTCTCCAAACAGGACTTGGTTTCAAAGCCCGGGCTACAATATAGCTTAGTCTCAAAGTAATCACAATTGCCAAAAAACATGAAAACTGAAAACAAATTAATTCTCCCCCCACAGCGCACATTGTTACTCAAAGGATTTGGGTGGGTGGCGATCCAGCCCAAGGACTCTCATTCAGATTTCAGACACATGAACAATACAGAGATGTGGGCACGAAAATACTACGCCTCCTGATGTCTCAATGTGTGGATTTGCAGAAGAGGTCCTATCAAAGAACAGATAGAGAGACAGGGTTCAAGGTTCTTTTCATGCAAAGAAAGAAGCTGATTTTGATCTTAAATGTGACCCTGACTGAGGAAGTTAATCTCATCTATCTATCTTATTAAGTGAAGAGGGGAAGTCAGTTTACTTTAGAAGTAAGGAATGGGTGAAAATATATCATGGCGTACATGATTTTTAATCTCACGTTATAGATATAAATCATGACATAGACACATTTCTTTAAAGTTTATATAATTATCCAGATGGGACTGTCTCTTTTTAGCTCACCTAGTGCATTACATAACATACCTGATGAATTAAATAGTCTATATCACAGTCATCAATGAATATTAACAATAAATTAGTCCTGATTGATTTACAGCATTACTATTGTTAATGACAAACAACACAAACCTTATTATAAGGTTATTATAATTGCCCCACAGTAGTTGTTAGCTTCTGGAAATATGCCGCTGTTTTAAAAGATAGGAAAATGACTCTGTTAGCCTGATCGGACTTAATTTCCATTTCAATTCTCTCATCCAATTCAAATAGTTATTTCTGTAAGTCAGTTTACAACCATCCATTGGGGGGTGGGTGATATAATGATGTACACCATGAGATTATGTACATTTGTCAACAGTTAGAAATGTAGATGCATCTTTAGGTGTATTAAAGACGTATTTTACTTTTGTTAGACCACAGACCTGCACATTTGCATTTTGAGGGGCTCTAATCTGCAAAAAGGGCAAACCCTGATGAATGTTATAACCAATGGGATGTCCTGTGAATAAAATATTTCAGAACAAGGCGCAGCTTGTAACATTTTTATCACGTTGCACAATAATGCCTTGCGCTACTGCTGCCTATATGTTAAGCCATCTAGATGGCTAGCGGATATTGGTTCTTGTGAAAAGAAAAGTAACCGTTTGGATGATGTAGCAATTTAATTTGGTCTAACTTTAGCAATTATGAACTACTTGTATTTATGCAGCCACAACAACAGTAGGGCAGTTCAGACAAAGACGACTGTTGTTCAGGCAACTTTAGTCTGGCCTTGTGCACGTCCTTGTATCAGACCATTGTTGCAATGTTGCAAATCAATGACTGAATTTCTGCATTAATGCAATAAATAACTTGTATTTGTCAATCATTTAATTTGTTGTATTAGTCATCCATCAGCACTTTTTCCATTTTCTTCAATATGTCAATATAATATGACAGAAAATGTGATAGAGGATATCTAAATTTACCATTGCTAAAACTCATGTAGCTGTGTTCAGCTCATATACACTTGTTGCCATTTATCTGCTGCCATTTTTCCTGTACTAGCACAGTAACACGATTGTCCCTCACTCCTTTCTCTACAAAGATTATCATTAAATAATGAGCCTGTGATCTGGATAACAAATAAATGTATGTCAAAAAATGTAAAAGCCTCCAGGGAAAACTGAAAAAGACCAACAGATCTAACTATAGGCTATAAGAGAACCAGTCACTTTGTCATATATCCCCACTCACTCACAACCCAGACTCACGCAACGACTGACTGACAGCAGTGACACCACCGTAATTTGATGCACCAGGACTCTGGCAGCCTCATCACACATACGCAGAGGGATGGGGGTCGCTCAGCACTCACAGATGGCATTTATATGATAATTCGAACCACTTCCAGACACCCATGAGCTTTCACACTGGACTCGATTACATCCAAATGGATTTTAGTAACCATCTGCAAGGAGGGGAGTGTGTCACTGAAAGCAAGAGTGATGGACTGGAGGCAAGGATATAGGCAATTTGCTCATGCATTACCAAACACATTTTTCCATGGTGGTGACAAGTAAAAAAAAGAAAAAGGGAGGAGTTAAAAGTGAAGGAGAACATGGTGGTGGATGCTTGCTTTCACAACTAGAAAGTCAGTCGATGTCCGCAGTATTCAGAAAGAGAAGGACATGCAATTTAAATTAATTGTTAGACATTTTAAGGAATATGGTCAACTGCTTTCTTGCCGAGAGTTAGATGAGAAGATCAATACCTCATGCTACAGCATGGATCTAGAGCCAGGAGGTAATTAGCTTAGCTTGGCATAAAAACTGAAAAAAGAGAGGGAACATCTAGCCTGGCTTTTTTTATTTTTGCTGCAGGGATGACATCTTTTTGTAGGACCAACCCAGAAGTTAACCCTGGTTTTTCCACTGGATTGTGGATTGTTGCAGAAAATAAGCTCTGTGGGGAACAAAAGTTTATGATACTTAAATGTTTTGTTCAGCAAGACTGATTTTTGAAGTGCGAATGTGATCACCAGAAGTAAAAATTAATTACATCAAAGTCACATGTCTTTAACGTTGTAAGTAGAATCTAGAAGTTGGAAAGTTTGAGTAACAATAGTATGCAAGAGTGTTAAAAACACAAGGCAGACCAGTAAGTAGAAGTTGAACAAAATGGGAAAATCTGTAAAGCTTGGTTTAACCACAGACCTTATTTTCAGGCATCTGACCAAACCCCTATTCTAAAACCCCACAGACTCCGAGACAAGGGAACCGGAGGTGCTACAATGCAAACTAAATTCCGTGTTTTAAGACTCATTCCTGCAGCACTCTATTGCCTGGCTTCTCAAATGCTAAACTATTTCTTAAAAGTGACTATAATATATGCACAATACCTGCTTAGCATCAAATAGCAGACAGACAAAGATAGCAACTAGT